AAGGACTAATCCTGTAAATCTACTTGAACAGGGACCATTTTTGTAAAAAATATTATAGCAAGGACCTATTACTGTAGATTTACTATATTAGGGATCATTTCGGTAAATTTACTTGAAAAGAGACCATTCATCGTATTGACACCTTCAAATGTTGATTCGATGTATATTCATAAGAATATTTAGTGATATTTGCACATTTTATTATTAATTATTTCAACTTGTATGCATTGAGGCTTGTCAAGTTTGACGGAAAATTGTAATATTTTTCTATAAGTGGAGATCGTTTGTGGGTCATTTGAGTTTTCATTCATAATCGATAGGTTAAAGTAGATGTTAGTAATTACAATGCACGTGCAAGTGAATGGTGAGATTATCGAAACAATACCATTTATTTGCTTAAAGGAATTATGATTGAGTATGTCGTTCCAACATATCATTCTCATGAAGTAATTTCATTTCGTTCAGATTTTGAGATAGTGACTATGCCAAATAGAAACATGTGATTGTATATAATTTAAATTGCATTAGAAAAACATTGTTATTTTTTCATGAATATATTTACTATTTTTATTAGTTTATGCTCGAATACTTTTTTTTTTTTTTTTTTTTTTTTTTTTTTTAATTTATAATTTTAATCGTCAAGTCATGTTTTATTTTGTTTTATGACATTCATTTTTTTAAATATATGTATCGAAGAATTTAATAAATTCATTTTAAGCCATTAATGTATAAATTCGTTTCTATGAAAAAATGTCATTTATGTTTACAAATAAAACAAATTTGTTTCCATTTTTGAGTGGTGGTGAATGTTATTTTATTCATCAATATGTATGTTGATTGCTTTTATTGTTTTTGAAAAATAGCAATGTACTATTCCTTTTTTCCAATAATAAGAATGTACTTTTTATATTCACTTAATTGATTCATGTAGCATCATCAATTTATCATTTTTACTTAAATATTCTGTAATTAAATAAGTATTGAAATTATTAATAGTTTTTTATAAAAAAAATTATACATATGAAATGAATGAGTTTTCTTTCATCACACATTAATAGTTAGCAAACGAAGCACAATTAACATGCATAGTATGGATCTTTTTAAATTTTACTCACATGTTTGCATTCACTAAATAGAAACAAGGTTTGTTGCTCTATAAGTGATCATATTTATTCAAGTGTATTTACTATTTATACATCTTTTGAAAACCATCTTAACATTGTGTTGGTTTTTTATAACTTCATATGAATTTTTTATATGTTCCCGGTGTTTTATACTTAATAAAATGAGAAACATATTAATTATTAAATTAGTAAAGAGTTATGGCATCCAATATTAAATTCAGTCTTACATAACCAATTTGGCTCAAACGTAAATTGCAGAGCAAGCTGCAACATGCCGACAAATAAAAAACTGTGCAGTAACGGCCCAAAAATGGTGGTGCAGCAAATAGCCCAACATCTGACCCAACTCTCGTTGATTTTTTCTTGACATATTTACCCTTAATCAAATAAATGATCGAAATTTATCCTTGTGTTCTTACCCTCCTTTTTTTTTTCACTGGTTCCGGGCGTATATATTAATTTGCAAGTAAACCAAAGTTTGTGACCAAAGGAAACAAATACTCGTAATGCTTCCCTAATAACTCCAAACAAGCCATGTGGAGAACCAATAAATGGGTTCTATGATTGGGTTATTTACTAAAATTATATAGTATTTTATTATTCATATGCAAATTTGATAAGTAATGGTTACGGCTAATTATTGATTAATTATCATTTGACTTGCGAGGTCCTAAACTTAGGATCCACGTACACTATGAAACACTAAATGTTAAGTAAATCAAGCGTACACATTGTTTCATCATGGAATGGACTATTTTTACTCGTCATTCATCGCATCATAACTCATATCTTATGCGATTTATTGATTATAAAATGCAAATTAATACATCATGTAGTGCATATTTTAGTGATCTAGTTCAATAGTAATAAATGGTTGAACCTTATTATGCCACCGATGATGTCTTTGCGTGGAATCCGGAATGTTGATCGACAACCATCGTTCTCCTCCTGGGGTGGGGTGGGTGGTTTTTTGGGTTCTACTTGAATCCTACTAATGTTGATGTGGACTACATATGTGATGGAAGTGACACGTTGAGAGCCATAAAAAACGAGCTTATATATGGGGAGGAGACATCACGTAACCCTAATTTGAAAGATGTGGAAAGACTTTATATATCCATCTAGTTTGCTAATTTCCAAAATGACTGATGAATATTTGGAAAGGATGTGATTAGTATGATGTGGTGTTCAATGTATACGTAGCATGTAGGCTTTCCAAGCTTGGAAAGAGATTTAGGTGTTGTTTGTTTTTTCGAAGTGAAAATGTCTAAAGTATGTGGAACACTTCTGCAACCCTCTGTAGCAGAAGAGGTGGAACAAACGGCTGCAACATTTAAAAAAAAAATATGTTTCTTTTTTAACGTCTGCAGATTGCTGCAATAAGTTAAAGTAAGACGTAAAGAGGTTTGAAGCAACTGGTTTAGTACTGCGCCACGCAGCACACACACAACAGTTTTTAAGTCAGAAGTCTTCTGAAAAACAAACAGCTACGCTGGGCCAAGTGTTGCGCGTGTGTTGCACGACGCAGTAATAAGAAGCCATAAGAGGTTTTTTTTAGAAAAAAAGAAACAATACCTTACATTTATCTAATACTTAGTTGTGGAGGTCTCGAGGGTATGATGTGATAAGAGGTTGTGTAACGTCCCTTATATATATATATATATATATATATATATATATATATATATATATATATATATATATATATATATATATATATATATAAAAATAATAGTTATACCTAGAAGTGGTATTGCAAAGGATAAGTCATTTATGAAGGACTAAATGGATCAAGAAAAAGTGATAGTGATGTTTAAATTCTAATATCGGAGACTATTATGTCCTACACTTAAACCTTAAGGACCAAATGTAACATCTCAAAAATCATAATAAATTTTAATTTTTCAAAAACAACCAAAAGTCATCCCTTGTTTAAAAAACCACTGCTTCAAAATTGTTTATCAAATATCAGAGTATTCCAAAATCCAAATAACAAATATCTGAAGTAATGTGCACAAGCGTGCATTCGCCTTCCCACGATCCTCGGAAATATTTGAAACTATTAACTAAAACTGTAAGCTAAAGCTTAGTGAGTTCACCCGGAGTACTACCACACAAACATATAATCAAACAGATAACAGGTCCACAACCTTTCTGGTTGGATTACCCCTGGCCCACAATCTTTCGGTTAGAATGCTGAAGTGAGTTGGAATCGAGTAATGAATACATAATCAATCAAAGAACATATTGGGTAATTAAAATCTGTTTGGCTCATATTTCGTCTGTAAAAGAGTACAAGAGTTGAGAGTGTATTATAAAAATTAAGAAGCACAAGAGTTTCTCTCGACCCTAATACTTACCCTATTTATAGGGTGTTACAGACACTACAAAAAGTACAAGGAATAAATGTTCTAGTTCGAATTAGACACGTGCCTTGCAAATAAATATAGCATCGAAATCATCCTGATTTTGCACCCTTACATAATAAAAGAGTTTTGGCTTCTCACTAACTACACTTCGACCCCCACAATCCCCCCCCCCCCCCTTAGTAAGAGTAGTCGAAATCCGTAAACTACATTTCGACCCCTACTATCTATGCCCTGTCTTCAACTTCATCTCTCTTTCAATTATCGATGTGAACAAGGAGATTGGTATATTGAGCATTCATATATGTCTCAAAATCACTGACTTGAAACAAGAATTTTGTCAACTGCCCATTCTTATTCTTACCTTGAAATACAACCCCAAGTGGTTGACGAATAATCTCCCCATCATCATATTTATCAATGTTAATCTTCCCCTTAGCAGAGATTGAGGAACATTCGAAGGTTTATTAACAACAATAGCAAGCTCAATATCTGTAATTGCAAGGAAATCAGAATAGTTGTCGATAAATACCTTAATATGAGCAAACCTAATTAGAAAATTATCATTGTTGACTTCTGGCAGCTTCGAAACATCCACATTGCTTAAAATCCTTGTTACAGTGACCAAGTCATTTAAGATCATGAATGGGAAGTCAGTAATCGAAAACTCAAAGACTATATTATTTTCTCTAACAACCACATAGAGAATTTTTTTTTTAGAATTCCTTCAAATAAATTTTTTCGAGTAATCGTCGTCACCTTTAGAATCTTCACTGATGACCATACTTCTTATTCATTCTTACCCAAAACTGCATGAGATTGTATCTTCAGCCTTTTGAATTCTTCTTTATCTTTGAAGTTTTCAACGATTTTGAATTGGGAAGAAGTGAATAACATGTGATTCACTAGGAAATCAAGTTGATTAAAATCAGTGTTTTCAACATCATAAATCTTCTTAGGTACTTTTTAAAAATAATCATTCAGCCCAATCAAAACTATATCTTTAATCATTTCGTAACATCACTTCTTGCTGGCGTCTCCCTTGTTCAAGCCAGGTGGATCACTTTGTCTTTGCCTCATTATGTTGTTTATTTGCCTTTGTTTTATGATTTCCAAATCTTATTTTGTTTTCTTCTCTTCGTTTCAAGAACCACTGAGATAGTTTTCCCTTTGTCACCTTGATCATATTTCAAAGTTGGTGGCACCAAACTCGAACTTGAAGCTCCTGTTCCTTCCTTTATAATGATTCCTATTGTGATTGCTCTTGTTGAAGTTATGGTTAATGAAATAGGAAGTAAGTCGATACCTGAGTTGAAATCACTTTTCCACCAAATGCTCCTTTCTATGAATCCTTCGAAGACCCAACCCCTCAACATCCTTTATCTCCCCCTTGTAACACTTGCTTAGCAGGTGGATCATTCATTGGTAATCAAAGAACCAACCCAAGGATGGGAGCAATCTATGCTTTGATATTTGTTTTGATGGACGAAATCAACTGAGAAATTGGTTCTTAAGAAACAGAAGATTGATTCGAAAGATCAGCTTTCGAAATGGATTCCTTGATACTGGTTAAGAATTCTTCCTGCTTTGTGAAAACTTGGGAATCCTTCTCGGATTTTTCTTCAAGCTTGATCGAATAGTCAGTATTGAATTCAACCCGCTTTTTAATAGTAGTGGAAACAATATTAACCATTCTATACAACACATTATAATTCTTCTCCATCTTGTCCACCTCTTTAGCTATCTCGGACTTAAGTTTAACCATCTTAAGATCCACATACTCTTTCACTTTTGACACTTGTTCCACAAACAGATCATGAAGCTCCTTGGCAACATAACGAAGCTTTTAAAGTTCATACTCAAAGCTTTTAGAATGAACATTCTACCGTTCAACCTATTTTTGTGCAAGGCTTTCAACCAAACTTTTAAACCGATTCTCCTGAGACTTCAATAAGTACTCCATCTCGAACCAAGAGAAAAACTCCTTCCCCCAATATCTACTTGAATTTGTAGAAGAGAATTAATTTTGTTGTTGAGAATTCTGAACTGTTTACTTGACATGATCATATTATCAGGTACATTTTCCTCTTCTGGGTCGAATTCCAAATTAGCAAAAGAAACCATGATCTCGTCATCATTTGGATCGTCTTTTTGAGTTACTATCTTTCTCTGCTTCAATTGATTGAGAAGAGAAGAGTGTAGTAATTGGTTCATGCATAATTGTGGAGTATATTGGTGAAATGGCTGAAATTGGTAATGAAGTTGGGATAAGTGACGAAAATGTTGGTAAATAAGTGAATGTTTCAAATGTTGGAGTTTTGATGCTAGATGAGAAAAGGATTGAAGTGGGAATGGTGGATGTGATAAGAGTTGAAATAGTATGGGCTTCTTTGTTCTGCATCCCTTCACCCATATTGGCATTTGTACCCTTATCAGTTAAGTCCACAAGGATGTCTGGAGTTCGAACCTCCTCCGTATAGGACTCAGTAGTCGAAACTCTAGGTGGTATGACCTTATTCTTCTCAGGGATTGATGTCGATGTGTGATCATTCGAATTAGTGTTTGTATCTGTATTAGATACGTGTAAAGTGACACCAAGATCTCCTGTCTCCTTGAAAATCAACTTGAGAGGAGAATCCTTTCGAGGTATACGAAGCCCAAAATTATCATGTCGATTATCCTCACTATCATTTTCATTATCTGTTTCGACAATAAATTGATCAAGTGGGTCTTGAGTCTTTCTCTTCTTTTGTTGTAATTTTTTAGCCATATCGAAAGCCTGTCTTTTCTTCGAAGATGGAGAGACAGGAACATGAACTTTTCTATATAGCACACCTCTTCTGTTGAATTGAGGTTTGCGAATCTTCTTTATACCCTTTTGAGACGAATGAGTGTGTGAAGAATCAAAATGTGTTTGCTCATTTAATTTGATCTCAGGTTCTTGAACAAATGGACTGACTAGAGAATTACGAGGCTTCTTGGCTGGCTTCTTGGTTTGCTTCAGAATACCAATCTTCGAAGGACAAATTTCTTTAGAAACTTCCTCAATTACAGGTTGTGGCTTCTCAGTCTCCTTCTTCTTCTTCGTTACTCTAACAACTTTGGAAGAACCCTCAGCCCTTTCGGTGGAAGAATACCAACAGAAACATTAGCTTCAATGGATGCCAAGTACTGAACAAGAATTAGATTTTGCGGGTCAATACGCCTTAACATCACATCTAGAATGCGAGCAACATTAGGAAAAATGACTGGATCGTCAGCAACAAGTCTTAGAGCAGCCAATGTTGAAAACTCAATAGTTTCAACATCCGAGGGAATCAAAATCCCTTCCTGTTCATAAACATCCTTGAGAATCAAACTCCAGTATCGAGCACACAAAACCCTATTTGTCAAATTA